AGATATGACTGAACAACTGAACAGCAACGATATCTAATCTCATGCCTTTTTTTATATTAGAAAACATATCTACAAATTTGTTCATGGTCAAAAAGTTCATGATAAATCCAGAAGTAAAGCAAGGTTCAGTTTATTCCTTATCAAGGGCTTGTTTCATTATGCTCTGCTCTAAAAGAGTACAGGAAGGAGAGAATAAGAGGAAAATATAAGGGAAGACTTATAAGGATAGATTATGTAACTTCAATGTCTGTCTGTGACCCTATGATATTAAGCCTTTGTAGCCTGCAAAGTATTACACATATTTAACTTCATTTGTTCATCTACTGTTATCATAAATACAATACTGGACGTGGAATCAGAAAAAAAAATGTGGACAAACATTATTTAAGCATTAAAAAATGATAGAAGACAAAGGCCTGTAGACCTAAAAGAAGCCTAATGCCCATGATGGTATGAAAACTTTCTTTGAAAAAAAAGTTGGGAAGACAGGGACATAATGAACACCAAATAACACTACACCCACACCCCCACCCCCACACCCCGAAACCAATTGTATTATAGTAGATAGCAAACATGGTTACTGATGTTGATGTCATTTCCAAATCAGCTAGGTAAACAGTCATATCACTGACATATGAGCACAGAGATAAAAATCAATACCAACTGGAAGAATTAAAAAATGAGATGAAAAAAATATGTGGCAACATATTTTGTTGGAGACAACAGATGAGGAAATTGAGGCAAACAGGGTGAAGTGACCTGCCCAGGGTCATACAGCTAAAAAGTGTCTGAGGCCAAATTTGAGCTCAGAAAAATAAGTCTTCCTGACTTCAGTGCCATATTTTGGCACTTTTACCAGCTGCACCACCTGGCTGCCCTAGAAATTCAAGTAGCCAAGCAAAAGAATACCTATAAAGCACATACGGCGGTGGTGGCAGTAGTAAGACAATATATGTGAGGACACTGCTGCCCAATCACCTCTCATTTCACGTTGATCATTGGCTCTCACCACTGTGATAGTTATTAAGAGAGCTGCACAACTATTATTGAATTCCCTAGGCCACACTCCTCCTCACTATCTGCTCCCTCAGCACACAAAGGGTATCACATTGGTCTCACTGTATTTTGTGACACATTATAGAATCACAGGAGTCAAGTGGCACAGTGGGCAGAGGGCTGGGCCTGGAGTCAGGAAGAATTATCTCCCTGAGTTCAAATCTGGCCTCAGAAACTTGCTAGATGGGTGATCCTGGGCAAGTCACTTCACCCTGTTTGCCTCAGTTTACTTACCTGTAAAATGAGCTGGGAGAAGGAAATGGCAAACGACTCCAGTATTTTTGCCAATAAAACCCCAATTGTGGTCACAAAGAGTCAGAGACAACAACAACAACAGAATTAAAGCATTCATGGGATGATTTTTTTTGGGGAAAAAAAAGCATTCAAAGTTAGAGACACTGGATGTATTGTTCCCTTTAAAAAGAAATGTTTTCAATTGGGAAACAACCAGATGCTAAGCAGAATCTGATGGAAGACTGAGTTAACCTATTTACTACCCATGAATTGAACCCAACCACCTTTCATCCAATCCACAGGGCAGGGAAGAGGAGATGTAAAAAACTGACTTGCAGCTTGAAAAATCAATTTATGACATGGAGTCAGTTAATCCCAATTAACTAATGGTAACTTAAAATGTTTTAATGTACAGCTAAGAACTCCATATCTGTACTCTTTATTTCATCTATTTTTTCTGGATGGGTTTTCTATGGTAAAAAATTGAGGGTAAGTGTATATGTATTTGTGTGTACACACTCATGCTCTGCTTGGGGGAGAGGGGGAATGAAAAAGAGTTAACTCATTTTTGCAATTACCAACTTCGAAAATACTATTTCAATATGGCATAACATGTTTTAAATACCTTTAAAATTTTAATAAAATTAAACAGTGTATTTTGAATAATGATACTGATGTCAGTGTAATTATACCTTAATATTGTTGTATTAAAAGCATATTGATTTTTCCAATCACATTTTAATTCATATTCTATACTTTATATTTGCTTTAGCAATAGTTTAGCAACATTTTAGGTGTGCACAGACACAGTCTTAACACAGACACAATCTTATTCGTCTATAAAACTTGTTTTTGTCCTGAAAATTTGTATGTGGTTTTTATGGTGAAGTTTATTGAGATCAATGTAGTGATGTCATTATTAGTGAAAAGTCTCAGCAGTTAAAGCAATGTGAATTATAGGTCCTCACTAAAACAGCAATGCTACAAGAAAACCTAACAAAGACCTGTGGTTAGACTTAGCTGTGTGATGGATTGCCCTGTTGTTGTTGTTTAATCTTTTTCAGTCATGTCCAGTCTTCATGACCCCATTTGTGGTTTTCTTTTGCCATTTCCCTCTTCAGCTCATTTTACAGATAAGGAAACTGAGGCACACAGGGTTAAGTGACTTTCCCAGGGTCACACAGCTGGTAAGTGCCTGAGGCTGGATTTAAACTCAGGAAGATGAGCCTTCCTGATTACAAGCCCAGCACTGTGTCACCGAGATGTCTGGTGGATAGCCTTACCCTTAAAAAAAAATCTTATGTGGATTACAAATAACCCAAGACTGGCTGAGACAGAGTAATAAAAATATAACTGGTTTCTAGATAACCTAATGTTTGTATTAAAAAGATGTTAGGGAAAAAAAGTGTTAGGGGTCTCTATGCTACTCTAAGAAGTGTGGCATCTTTATAGGAAAGGCAGAGCCCTAAAATGGTGACTCAGTTTTCCTATCTGCAAAATGAGGAGTCTAGAAAAGATGTTATTTCTGCTCCTAGCTTGTTCTCTGATTGCGTCTGTGTTTGTATATGGTCTTGAAAGGGTGAGACTAGAAAGTGTGAAGTAGGCAGTACAGTACAGTCATGTCATACTCAAGGAGAAACCAGAGCCCCTAAATTATACACAGAGATCCTTGCAAGTGGCATATGGACTTAGAAGACTACATATTAACATTATCTATGTTCTATTACCTTTTCATTTATTTTGTTAAATAATTACTTTACTATTGGCAATTATTATAATTCCCAGTTCCTCAATTTTAATCTCTTTCAAGGCTGTACTGTGCCATGTTTGAAACCTCTGGTACAGTGCATAAAGTGTCGGGCATGGAGTCAAAAAGGTCTGAGTTCAAATCTTGCCTCAGACCTTTATTAGTTGTGTGAATGTGGGCAATTCCCTTAACCTCTGTCAACCTTATTTTTCTTACTGGTAAAATGGAAATTGATAATAATAGCATCTATATCCCAGGGTTGTTATGAGGATTAAATAAAATAATCTATGCAAAGTGCTTTTCAAACCTTAAAGTACTATATAAGTATAACCTCTTTAGCAGCAAACATTTTTAGAGACAATGTATTCAGATAACATGAGGAGGCTGGAGAAGGAGAGGAAGAAGAAGCAAGGAAAACAGAAAGGATTTTATTCAACATTAGTCTGAGCTCTATGCTATTTGAAAAAGGCTAGCTAGTTGAGGAAGATTTTTTGTTCATTAAAAAAATTTTCCCCCAAATAACAAAAATAAATTTTCTCTCTTCTACCTCTATCAAGTAGGGGGAGAGGGCGTGGAACTCCTTGTAAAAAAATATTCATAGTCAAGCAAAACAAATCCCACATAAGCCATAGCCAAGAAATACATGTCCCATTCTAAACTCAGGAAGATTTCTATTACCAGGAATAACCCAGGGAAGCGGGTGAGCTGAGGTTTGGGTGGCATTAAGGAGGGGAGTTTCACAAACCACCGATTATCTAATTTGAGCCTCACAACACCCTTGTGAGGTATATACCACAGGAATTAATATCCTTATTTTACAAATGAGGAAAGTGAATCTTTGAGAGGTTAAATAACTTGCGTGTGGTCACCTGGCTGGTTAATTATCAGTGACAGGATTTGAACCCACTTCCCTCCTGAGTCTGGATCTATCATTCTAAAATCATTAGGCCATGCTGCCAGTCAAGATAGATAGACCCTTATCACCTGCAAATCTGCCAAAGGTGCCAAGTTCTAGGAATCAACTGGACTGGGGTGGGGAACCTGCAGCCTCGAGGCCACATATGGCCTTCTAAGTCCTTGGGCGTGGCCTTTTGACTGAGTCCAAGTTTTACAGAACAAATCCTCTTATTAAGGGGATTTGTTCTGTGAAGTTTGCATTCAGTCAAAGGGCCATTTGTTCTACAAAATCTGGATTCAGTCAAAAGGCCACACCCAAGGACCTAGGAGGACACAAGTGAATTCTGATTCAGTCAAAGGGCCACACTTGAGGACCTAGAGGGCCACATGTGGCCTGGAAGCCACAGGCTCCCTATCCCTACTGTACTCTTATCACCAGAAAAAACTTGACAAAATTCAGTCCCCTCATTTTACAGATGAGCAAACCCAGAAAATTTAAAGTCATTTAACCCCTATTTGCCTCAGTTCCTCAGCTGTAAAATGGGGACACACTGGAGAAGGATATAGCAAACCACTCCAGTACGTTTGATTACACTTAGGTAAATTTGGACAAAAGTCTCCAATGGCAGATGTTGAAATTGGTATTCATGGCCAAGTGCCCTTTCTCAGGGTGCTAATGTTGAGATTCCCAAGGAATGACATCAGAAGTACCCCTTTCCTTACTTAACTCAAGGTCCCACCACGCCCAGCATAAAAACCCCAACTCTGGTGATTTGAAATCTTCAGAAAAATAGAAAGCAGCTCTTCCTTACTGAAACACTGGTGACTCTTACGTATTTGAAATTTAGCAGTATCTTTTGGATGGCGTCCTTGAGCACTGAATTATGGGTAAGTTAGATACCAGGCAACATTCCCTAAAAGACAGTGATATGACAATGAGCATCCTTGAGACGTATACAGGGAAAAGACAATCCAAATCTGTGAAAAGAATCATTTTAGTGGCCTGGATTCCAAAAAACAAAATAATAATAATAATAATAGACAACAAGTAGATTGAAATACTCACATGTTACCTCGAAACCTACTCAGGTCGTTATTTGGCTTCTCACATTCGATTATACTGGTGAACTTCAAGGGATTAAATTCAGCATCCTGAAATTATAAAAATTTATATATCAGATATAGCTAAGCAAAGACTAATGACAGTCACTTGTTTTGTTATTAAAGAAATATAAATGATAATTCTCCTAATTCAATGTGTTAATAAACATTTGATTAATAAATATTTAATAAACACTTATTAAGAAAAAAATTATTAAGCACCTATTATGTGCTAAGCATTGTGGATACACCCATACATACACACACACATACATACATATATATATATACACACACACACATATATATACACACATACATACACACACACACACACACACATACACATATTAAAAAAAGACAGTCTCTGCTTTCAAGGAACTGATAACCTAATGGGAAAGGCAACATACAAAAGAAAGCTTAAAAGGGGTGGGGAACATGGGGGTATGAAGGGCAGATACCTGGTATGGGGGCAGAGGGGCAGGGCAAGGTGGAGAAGTCCAAAGGAGTGCAGCTGGCTGCAAAATTCTACATTCAAAGACCTTAAAAACAGTGGGTGCTTAATAAATGTTTCTTGATTTAAGTTACTATTCACTGTCCTACAGCTGTGTCCAACTCTTTGTGACTCCATGGACTTGTCCACAGGGTTTTCTTGGCAAACATACTGGCGTGGTTTGCTATTTCCTTCTCCAGTGTGTCCCCATTTTACAGCGGAGGAACTGAGGCAAATAGGGGTTAAGTGACATGCCCAGTGTCACACAGCTAGTAAGCATATGAAGCCTCATTTGAACTCAGGTCTTCCTGCTTCCAAGCCCAGAGCTCTCTCTACTATACCACCTAGCTGCCCTCAAGTTTACATCATCATTAGCAAATTTTCCATGAGCTGGGTTCTCCTTTCAAGCTGTTTCTTTCCTAAATTAAATTCCCTCTCAAAGTATGGTTTTGCAGGTAGTGCCTCTCTTCTTTGCAATACAGGATTTTTAGAAAAGCTCTTTCTTCACATTTAAGTTCTGGGTGTATTTATACAGAATGGTAAAAACAGTGCCTTGTTTTTGATAAACCTCTGTTATCAGAGTACTACAGAATAAGGTACACAACCCAGACACACAATTGGATAATAACAGCTTATGTCTGTCTCATGCTTTAAAACTTACAAGGTACTTTTACATATATTATCTCAGATTCAGAGCTGGAAAGGTTATCACCTACTGCAATCCCATCATTTTGGAGATTACAAATCAGACTGAGGAGGTGAAGAAACCTACCTAAGTTCACACAGGTGGGAAGGGGCAGAAATAGCATTCAAACCTATGTCTGTTTGCTTTAAATTCAGTAATCTTTCCAATATACACAACGCTCAGTAGATGTGTATTTGTTTAAACTGACAATATTTATACACCATTTTCTAAGGACATGGATAAATTCGTTTCCAAGATTTGGTAATCTCTTATGTTTCTTTAAATTTCTCAATGACCTATTTCATAATAACTAGAATTTATAGAGTTGGAAGGAATCTACAGAGTTCATCAAGTTCAACCTTGTGATATTTCCTAAATTTTTGCAGACAGGCGAATATGGGTGGGGGTGGGGAGGCTTCAAGTAGGATTGAGGAAAAAGAAGGATGGCTTTCTTCATTGTGGCAGCATGGTGTATTCAATAAACCATTGGACTTGGAGTCAGGAAGTATCTCTTAAGAGTTCAGTTTCCTCAGTTTCCTCGTCTGTAAAATGAGTTAAGACTCAATGATTTCCAAGGTTCTCTACAGCTCAAAATCTATTATCCTATAATTCTATAATCTTGTTCCACCTCAAGAAAAACCCAGAGGTGCCAAGTCCTGGGGATGAATGATGCCACCAAAAATCTCCATGGCAAGGGTACAGCAGGTGGATGGGAGACCTGGATGATACAACCAGCCCAGGAATCAATTGTCTTTCAGTACCCCTGGAGAATAATCTTTATAGGCCTAGAGATCTTGGAAATCTACACAGAGGGTGGCAAGACAGGAGAGGAGACAGAAATAGCCATGGAGGATATTCAGAAGTAGTTTTCACACACTTGAAGTAATGAAATTAAAGGGCCCTCAAGAGGATAAATTGTAAGGACTACTGGAATTTGAGTTTGATAGAGCTGGGGTTCCACCACTTACAAGTGGCATGCCCTTGGGCAAGTTATGAACCTCCATCTCACTTGCCTCAGTTCTTTTTGGGGGAGAATATGGCTTGAAAGAAATATTCAAGGTTTTATATAATTTTCCTTCCAAACGAATTTTTTTTTAAATGATTGTGGCTTTTAAAAATCTGCTTATTTCTCCTCATTATGTGGAGATAACCATGTTCATAGATTAACAATGGGGAAAATCTACTCTTTCTGCTCCGAAGGTTGTCTCCATTCTAAACTATGGATTAAGACCACTTGCCTTGTGTACCACAGTGCTATCCCAAAGATGGGATAAATAATGTATATGAAAGTACTTAAGCAATTACAAAATACTCGACAATTAATTCATTTCCTACCTTCTTTCATCTACAGGACAACTTACTGCAGTGAAGGTAAGCTAAAGGCCTACTTGGTACCATCAAGTACATTTTCTGTTGTTCTCTCTGTGCGTAGTACACTGTCAAAATTAAGTTTCCCTTTGCTATTTGAATTTTATTCCATTTCTCAGAGTCCTCTCCTGACTCTGTATTACTTTTCACATGGAGTTTACATCATTCAGCTTTGTTTATAAGGTCCTCCCTGTAGACATTTTCTAGCTTGTTCCAATACATTTGAAAACCCTGTTGGTGAATTGGCCTTGAGTTTGTAATCTAGCAGAAAAGACTGCTATCAGCAGGATGCTGTCAGCAAAAATATACCTGTCTGCAAAATAGGTATTGTATATACCTGCATGCAATCCAGGATAAGCAGGCCTAACTTTCAAATCCCTTGATACGTTCTTGCTTATCTATTTTATAACGGGTAAGCTTCAAGGAGCAATAATTATGTCTTCTAAAAATTATGTATATTTTATATCCATCACAGATTGATCTATATTTACAGAATTTCATTTGGATAGTAAATAATAATTAATAGTAATGAACATTGTCAAGTGATAAAGTTGAGTTGATAAATGGACTGAAAATATTTTAGCTCAGTAAATTTATTTCACTAGTACTTTGCCTTAAGGTAGGGTGGTGTGTGTGTGTGTGTGTGTGTGTGTGTGTGTGTGTGTATGCACATACAAATTCACACACAAATTCAGTATGAGATGATATTTAGTTAGGTAAAAAACAAGGAAGTACATATTTAATGAAACACATAAGGAACTCTAAGATTTCTGTGTTAGCCTAGAGACATTGATCTATTCTGGCAATTAGGTATTTAGAATAAGATATCACTTCCTTAATTAGACTTGAGGAATAATCACAAATAATTTGCTAAAGTCTGGAACAGCAATCCTGCAGACAATAATTTCATTTCTATTTAAACTGTTTAAACAAGCAGTCCATCCCAAATAAAGCATTTAATTTAATTTAATTTAAAGTTATTAATAGGGCTGGGAAAATATTTCTTTAATGATTCTTGAGTCAAATTTTCCTCTGTATCACTAACAAATTCTCCATTCTAGATCTCTCCCTCTAAAAATTTTTCTATCTTCTTGGTTTCACTGGAACCCTTCTCTTTCCAGAAGATAACCTCATCCCTAGCCACCCTCTTCAGTTCTGATTTTTCCTTTTCTTGTCCACCTTTAACACACCAGAACAAAAAGAAGAATTGACATACTTCTTGCTTTTCACGGCCAGTTCCTTGTCCTCAATTTGCTATAGTCCTAGAGTCAGGAAGACCTGAGTTCAAACCTTGCCTGGGACCCTTACTAGCTGTGTGACTCTGGGCAAGTCACTTAATCTGTTTGCCTCAGGTTCCTCACTTGCAAAATGGAGATAACAGTATCACCTATCTCCAAGGGTTGTTGTGGGAATCAAATGAGATAATGATTGCAAAGTGTTTATCCAGTCCTTGTCACACAGTAAATGCTATATAAGCATTAGCAATTATTAACACGTAGCTCTGTGATACAGTGGATAGAGTCCCTAGCCTGGAGTCAACGAGACTCATTTTTGTGAGTTCAAATCTGGCCTCAGACACTTCCTAGCTGGGTGACCCCAGGCAAGGCACTTAACCCTGTTTGCCTCAGTTTCCTCATCTGGAAAATGAGCAGGAGAAGAAAATGGCAAACCACTCCAGTATCTTTGCCAAGAAAACCCCAAATGGGGCCACAAAGAGTTTGACACGACTGAAAAACAACTAAACAACAACATTGATATTATTACTTATTATTGTTATCCAGACCTACCACTGACTCTGAAACTTCTCTTCATTTGAAACTTACTCCATCTGTCCATATTATCCTTTCCAGGTCTGTGTTGTTATGTTAATCTCTCTCATCTCAAGCAATTCAGTACCTGACTCAGTTTTCTTCTCCATCCCAAACCCTGCCTTCATAACTGGGGAAATTCAATATCTAAATTGTTACCTCCTAGAATGGCTTGGCCTCCTAGTTTATTCACCTCTTTAATTTCCATGACCTGAGTCTTCCATCTTTGTTACCCATAAGCTATCTACAAGGGTAGTCATAGCTTAGCTCTCACAAATCCTTTCAAACAATGTCTCCCCTCCGATCACTCTGAAATTCCTCTCTCTTATTTTAAATAATCTCCCATCCTTCTCTGACTTCACCTGCCTCAATCCTACCCAACACATTCTTTATCTTTTACTGCAGCCTCCAATTCCTCTCTGCCTCCCTCTTTTCCCAATTCATCACCAATGCTCCGGCCTCCCTTTCCTTCATAATCTTAATCTCACGGTTAACCAGTTCAATTATGTACTTTGTTCCTCCCATGAATCTCTTTCTCCCTTGCTCCTTCCTGCTATTCATTTATACACCCAGAGTTCTGTTGTCTTTAGGCCATTCACAGGATGGTGAACTAAGAGGGGCCTTAAAGAGTCAAGAAGACCTGAGTTCAAATCTAAGCCTCAGATATTTCCTGTGTGACCCTGGGCAAGCCAATCAA